TACTGAAAATATATAAAATACTTTAAAGCTATGTAGGCTAATAAATCTATAATATCCATTTGCCTTAAGTCCTTAACAGTCATATTTCAAACTTTTCAATTTTCTTGTAGAACATGAAATCTTAATTCTGGCAGAGTTTTGGCTTTATTTATGACTTTGTCCTATAAAAAATTCAGAAAAGTTTCGGGATGATTTTGATCACTTTTTTTTTAACGGTTTATAATCTTTTTTTGACCGTGAGCCTTCTTCATCTTCTCTTCATCTTCCTTTACTCTCACAAATTTAGTAAAGTTTTCCTAAAATTTTTATCTAAAAACCTCACAATACTCTAACAAAATTATATATTTTGTACTCTTTCTTCTTTCCTTACCTATATGTTTTTCACTATTTTTCTCTCTTCCTCCATTCTCCTATCCACTATTTATAGGAGTGAGGAGCCACGAGAAAAATATTGCCACCATTTTTTTATGGCACTTCATCTAAAAGTTATCAACTTTCATCATGTCATTTTATCTTAAAAGTTATCACTTTTTACTTGACATTTATCTAAAAAGTTTTTACATTTTTTCATGTATTTTCATGCTTATTCATCATTATTTATTATTTTTTCGTTTGACTAAATTATGTTTTTAACGTTATTATATATTTTTAAATATTTATAAAGATTAAATTAAATATATCAAATGTAAGAATTAATTCGAGAGTATTTTCAAGCTATCACAAGTATAACAATTGTAAAAATATAAAAAAATATCGAGCTTAGCATAACTTATAAGTTTTATAGTAATATATTTCATGATTTTTTTATAAAAATATTGTAAAAATATTTAATTAACATATAATTACAAGTTATACTAATTTATTTACGTGCTTGGTAAATATGTAATTAATATATATTTTTTCACTATTTTTATATATTGAGCTATTAAAATTTATTTTTGTCTGAAATTTATTTATGGATATATACTAAAAATATAAATAAATTTAAATTATTGTTTTTATTTTATTTTGATACTTAATTAGTAATTTAGCTTAAAAATAATTTTAGAAATGTATATTATTTGACAAGATAAAATTACTTGAAATGGTTATTAAAATTAAATACTAAATTAAAATAATAGTAGATAATTTAATTTAATTAATTTGAAAAATATTAGCCCAACGAAAGATTTTTTTTTTTTTTTTTTTCAAAAAAGGTGTTGCATTTATTTTTGGGGTAATATATATATATATATTACATAAATTATAAAAGATCTAGAACATATACATAACTATTTGATGGTCGGTTTAGTTGAGTTTTCTTTTTAGCACCCGAGCTGACCTAATAACAAGCTTTCGGGTGAATTGTACTGGACCCAGTCCAAATTCAAACCGATTTTTAATCATTTTCTTGTTTTATTGTTTTCTTATAATCAAATTAATTACTTCGTTCTTTGTTTGAAGTGTAATTAATTTGCTTGTTCTAATACATATTTAATTGGAAATAAATTTTATATTCATTTTAATTTTTTTCTTTATAGTTTTACATCTCTCATTAATTTTACGTTTTTCTTTGATATAATAATATTATTAATTTTCTATTTTTCTTTGGTCAAGTTTAATCTCTTTATATGTATATCATTTGATAGATAAATCTTTATTCATACTATAATACAATGAAGAAAAATAAATAATTTACAGCATAGTAAACCCATAAGATATTCTTTATAATTGCCACATGAAATTCAACAATGGACAAAAATTTGGACACCATTTGATTTTCTTTATTTCTTTATTTTATTTTCCTTCTTTTTTTTCTTTGATACAAGTCTGTTACATGCCTTTTTTTTATTTTTTATTTCCATTTTTTCAATTGGACCCCATACTTTTTCACCGTAGGAATATTTATTATTATTATTTTATATTTTATGTTTTGTCATAAAATATAATTTGTAAAAGTAATTAGCTTTCTCCAAAGAAGAGAATAACGTAGAAAAACGCTTTAAATTAATTAATAATCAGTAATCATTTTTACCCCACTCACACCTAATTGTCTCTTGTCGAGGGAAGTTCAAGTGGGCCCCGCAACTTCAAGTGCTGAGTATGAGTGACAGGAGCATCTCTCAGTCCCCATAATATCTCCCACGCGCTTCGGCTAGGTGTAAGCCACGTCAGCAACAACTACAGATCTAATTCGTGGTTGAACTACACGCTCCCGTGACCAGCGCCTATGGGAGTGGTCTACTTCGTTTATCATCCCCGTGGAAAGGTGACGACTGTCAGTGGTTCACAGTCTCACTTTCGTCCTCCCCTCTTCACACCAATGGGAACGGGCAACGACGTCGTATTGTTTCACTGGAGACTCCCCTTTCTTTACTTGCCTTTTGGGCGGTTCACGTTAAAATTCGCCAACAGACCTAAAAACTGGAAAAAAGAAAGCGGAGATAAAACGAAATTACAGGGAAAAAGAGCCGATGTGCTTTCTCTTTAATCTATGTCTACTGTCTGTCTTCTCGGTCTCACGCATGGCAACGACATTTTTAGCTTCATGAAAATGGCTTAAACGATCTACTCAATTCCCAAGGTCCTCTTAAATAAACAGTTAAACACGGTTCTCTTATCAAAATCCCATGTTTTCCTGCTTCTTCTAGGGTTTATTCATTCTTGCCATTTTTGCGTGTCCTCCTAGGGTTTTGTAACCGCTAAAAAGGGAAAAGGAGTGTATGAAGAAAAGTTTGAGCTGTCCAAACTTCTTTGTTAACTTCAATTGGTGTGAATTACATGGAAATCGAGCTTAGGAGGTTGTTCGGTTGTTCATTTCTCTTGTTCGGGAGAGGATAATTATCTCGGAAGTTCAAAGGTGCTCCAGATAATTTGCTGCTCGTATATTTATTTATTTATTTACCCGGTCGCCTGTGTTTCAGCTTCATTTCGTTTAGATCGGGGTACTTGAAAGATCTTGCCTAGTTTCGATGATTTACTG